TTGCGAAGCGCGTGCGGACGAGCGCCTGAGTGGACGTCCGCCGAGTGGCTCAAGATCCTCTGGCACCCGAGCGGCTTCAAAGATCCCAGCGCCCGTCGGGTGTCGCTGTGCCTCGAAACCGACGAGGGCACCAGAGCGCACTTCCGCAGCGTCGAGGAGCGCCTCGTTCGGAGTTTGGCGGCTCTGGCGCTGAAGGATACCAGGCTTTTCGGTAAGCTCCAGACGGAGTCGGAGCTCAAGGAGCGATTCCTGTCGTGCTTGAAGGCGAACGCGCGGAGCGAAGCTTTTCTGAAAACCAAGATGGACTGGGATAGGCTGCGACTCTGGGGTCCGAAGGGCGAGGTGCTCAAGGAACCCGGCGAGCTTGCGGGTCGGGAGTGCAAGGTGAGGTGCGAGCTCCGACAGGTCTGGCTGATGACGGGGCAGTGTGGCCTCTTGGTCGAAGTTACCGATCTCATGCTGAAGGATTCCGGCAACGAGCGGTGTCCATTTTCGAACCTTGCCTCGGACTGATTCTGCACGAAAGCGAAGATTAGGCGGCTAAGATTGGGTCCATATAAACGCCGTACCGCGCCCCAATTTTCTGCCTTTTTGGCGCTGAGGGTAGATTGGCGGCGTCCCTGTGGCTAGTTTAGGATGCCGTTCTCACCAGATGCTCGGTGCTGCTCGCTTTTGCTCACTGATGCCATTTTGTTGTATTTTGTAACGGTATTCTAGTTAGGCTGGCCGACTTTTGCGGTAACATTTTTGCTAGAGTGCTTTTGCAGCACCCTAACCCCTTCAGCCCTTGCAGTAGGTTGCTTCCACCATTGCCCTGTGAGTGTTTTTGCGCATCCCTAACCCATAGGACCTTCTACCATAACACCCCAGCGTTGCTTTTTGCTGAAGTTGTGCTTCCCGTGCTGCGGTTCCTCCAGGTAGGACCGACAGCATGAATCATGAACATGGTCGCTAAGCAGCAAGGCAGCACGAAGGTGCCGCGCTCATAGCAGCACCGACACAGCCGCACGATGCATACACACGTAACGCGTAGCAGCCCTAGCAGCTTGGACANNCACACACACACACACACGCGTAGCAGCGCTGTAGTGGCTGGGCCGGACGGGCTGGGACGGGACTGGTGGGAGCCTCAGATCGCTCGTGGACAGACGTAGGAGTGCCCGTAGGATGGTAGGGTCTCAAGTCGTCGTCGGAGTGCTGCGAGTCTGCGAGCGTGCCGTAGGTGTGCTTGTAAGACTTTGTTGCTTTGGCCGCTGCCCAGGCCCAGACCTTCATCTGCAGAGCCGCTTCCCTCAGAGCGCTGGTCGGTTGCCGTAGGTTGCTGTAGGACCTTGCAGGAGTGTTGGCAATCGGTAGGGCTGGTAGGATGCGTTGCGGTAGGGGGGTTTGCGTAGGAGTGTTGGTAGGTTGGCACTCGAGTGCTGCCCAGGTCAGAACCTTCTTCCTTCCGCGCGCTGATGCTCAGAGGGCGTTCAGGGTTTTGTTCGGATGTTGGGGTTTGGGTGAGGGTACGTTTGCGAGTTTTAGCGTTGGCAGGAATGCTGACCTGGAGGAGCACTTCTAGTCGTAGGATGTTGTGCC